ACTTTGATGTGTATTTTATCAGTTGTTGCTAGAGAATCCGAATTTTTCGGCTTCTTGTTACTTTGATGTTATCGTGTTATTGATGAGTTATTGATTGCATTGACTCCGGTCTGTCTATACTGGTTCTTTAGGATTACTTCGTTCCTCTTGTGCCACTTCTATGATTATTACATCATATTTGCTGCTAGCTTTGTTGATCTATGATTCTCACATCATATTATGTAATTTTCTTTTATATCATATTCACTAGCGAACTTTGGCATAGCTTCTAATGCAGTTAAATTGATTTGAGCATGTTTTCTTTAACAGGCTTAACATTCTCTAAAATTTTGAGGGCATATTGCAACTAGTTCCGATGGATTTTTGGCGTGTTGTGTAGAAAAGAAAACTGAAATGGGAGGTTGCTGCTGTTGTTCCTCAAGAGGAACAGAATCAAATATTACACCAGGCTACTATTATGTCAGTATTGAATTTTTCATTTGATGTTTATTGTCATATTTTTATCAATCAAATTCTTTCTTTGTTAGCAAGAACTATGCAGCCATTATTTAGTGTTCGTTCATTTATTTATTATCATTGTCAACATGTCTAATTGCATATAGTTGTAGGTATTCCGATATAGCCTATGAGATAATTAACGTAATTTTCATCGTTGGCGGCCCCAATCTGAAACTGGTTGGAGTACGAGAGACGAAGTTTCTTTATTCAAGTACCTTTTGGTTAATTCAGCATCAATGTGTTTTCCAAAAAAAGTCTTCTGCCTTAGCATGTATCAACTTAGATTGCTTGTGACCATAGGAGATGCTTGTATACTACACCGCGAGTAAATCGTGAATATGAGAAACGTTCCATATGCTCAACTATTACACATGAGATGGTGGAAAGAATTTTCTTCCCATCGTCAACTTCCTTGCTCAAATCTCAAGACTGCCATTTCTGTTATTTATTCTTGGAGCTGATTGAACTTTATGCTCAACTGTTAACATGAGATGGTGGAAAGAATTTTCTTCCCATCATCAACTTCCTTGCTCAAATCTCAATTTACTTAAATCTAAGTTTTGAACTTTTGCTGCAGTACCCAAGAGCATCGGAGGAGCATGTTCCCTTGTCATCTCCACTTAGTGCTACCCCAGCATTTCCAACGGGGATTTTGGTTGATACAAATCTGGACACATCAATTCCGGACACTTATAGATCACCCCCATTGCCTATCCCGTATGATGTTGTTCTAACACACCCACATACTCCTCGTGCGGCTCAAGAAATTGTCAGCAATAAGAATGAAGCTACAGCTCAGACACCAAATACTGATGTAATTCAAGAAACAGCGTGCATAAACACACGGGAAACTTCAGCCAAATGTGATGCCATCGATGAATCAGACTGCAAGAAACACACGTTAAAGGAATCTGAAATTGGACTCTCAAAGGGTGTAGAATCTGTGGTCATACCTGTGGAAGAGGAGGATGTTTGTCCCATCTGTTTGGAAGGTGAAGTTTTGCTAAACCTTTGTTAAGCTGCACAATACCAACTCACCAAACCGTGGATTTTTTTTTCAAACCTCTCATCTCTATAGCCAATGTTTGACATTTTAGTTGCTTGAACTAACAAGTCACCAGGTTATCGCTTTCTCAATGGCTGCACAGTTCCTTTCCCTTTCAATTCATCACTTTCCATTGTTTTATGCAGAATATGATGGGGAGAATCCAAAACTCACGACAAAATGCGAGCATCATTTTCATCTTGCATGCATTCTGGAATGGATGGAAAGAAGTGATATCTGTCCTGTGTGTGATCAGGTGTGTCTCAGGCTCTCAGTTTATGTTTTATCGTTTGTCACTCATACTCATTAGTTCTTAACGCTTTAAGAAGATTTTTTTTCCCTCTCCTAATCATTTCCCCCTGAAATGCAGGAAATGGTTTTTAGCCCTCCAATTGATTAGTAACAACAAGAAAATCAGCCAAGTGTTTTCTCAGATTGAAGTAAAGTTGAAAGTATAGATTGTGAAGTTCTTGTGATTTTGCTTCAGCTGGCAGCTTCAGGTTTCTTTTAGTTGCTTTCCTTTTTCTTTTTACTTAATGAATTGCTCATTCCCGTTGCATTTTCTCTGTGAATTTGTTCTCTGAACATAGAATGGGGGGGAAATTGGGAGAATGATTCTTCTTTCTTTTGTTTCTTTTTTATTTTGGGTGGGAGTAGTGGGAGAATGTAAATACAGTTTGTGCAATATAGTATATCTGAGCTTGTTTTTTTTTTTTTTTTTTTTTTTTTTTTTTTTTTTTTTTTTTTTTTTTTTTTTTT